ATATATATATATATATATACCATTCATTTCCAGACATTTTGATGCATTTCACAGTTATAATAAACCGCTTCTTCAGTTCTTCAGCAGGGAATACAGTATAATCGATAGTTTTGCCAAGGTTTAAAACGCATGTAATACCAGAGGACAGCACAGAAGCATATCAAGCAAGACCAGAACAGTGGCCAGTCTACCAATCTGTATATCTCCTAATAGATAGGAGACGCTCTTAAAGGTTCTGTATGTCCCATATATAAACTGCGGTCTGGTAGCAATCTACAGGATATTCTTTTAGAAGGGCACAAGATAGACAATGCTCCAATGTAGCTCAAAGATTGTATGTTATATACTAAAATTGTACAGGTTTATCCAAGCCCTGCTTCCTTAATTGGACTCCACATGAGCAACACCCTTCCACCATAGACCTTATGCAATCTCCAAAACCTGCAGACACCATGAGCTAAAGACCACTCACATGAGGAACTCCAAAGGAAACTTGCTAAATAGGTGGTTATTATCTATAGAAAAATGTGCATTCAAGAATCTTCCTAACATCCACAGCAGAACAGGTTTCTAAGGTGTGGCGATACATCACATCGATCCCACGCTCAGATATAGCAGATGCAGCTCAGTGTACAATCATATGATGTGCTGGGATGGGTGCACTCAAATACGCCTACACAGGAGTTACATCATCCAGGGCCAGCCAATCAAGATAGCTAAAGATGTCAAACCCTGAAGAAACTGGGTAGAAGATGCAGGCACTGAAATGAAGGTTTTATTTCTATCTGTGCCCCTGCTGGAGAGATCCATCCCATGATCATCCTGTTTGTCCTAGTGACCTTTGTGTCCAGTACAGAAAGTGATGGGAAATCCAACATGTTGTCACAGGAACAGTTCTAATGGTTTACTTGTTCTGGTGACAACTATGTCTGTGTCTACTTTCTGCTGTGTCTCTGGAACAGGAAGTGAAGAGAAATCTTGCCGATAGGACACAGATAGAAATAAAAACTTGCCAGGGGCTTAATCATCATCTAAGCTACAAAAGTATAAATATAAACATTTTCAGCTTTACATAAATCGCCCTTTCTTAGGATCCTTGCAGGTTTCTGCTGGTGTATTTGATTGGCTCCCGATGTCTGCATTCTTTTATTTATGCCTGTTTGTTTTCTCCTAGGAATTATCCACGCAAGGGGCTTGGTACGAGAATGTTTGGCTGAGACGGAACGAAATGCCCGATCCTAGCTGTGCCCAATGCCATATGTCTAAAGCATACAAAGATATTTCTTTCTGGATTTCTAAACCTTCAGGGCAGTCTTTCTGATTATTTAGCTAGAGGGATCTGTATCATTTTTTCGGGATGCCTCTAATGTACTGTAAAGCTGCTAATCCTACGATGCAATTTTTACTAGTAAACAGAATTTCCACATATATATTTAAAAGTATTGCTGACTCTTTCAGATTCTTTTTCTAAGAGTCCAAGGAAATTCGGGGGGATGTTTTGCATCATAAGCTGCAATATATTTTCCTTTATCTTCCTGGAATGTTTATATCCGGGTTACACCAGTGTTTACGTGTTACAATTAGATGCTTCATAATTTGTGCTGCTTTTTTTTAAAGAACAAAGCATGTTTTTCTTTGCAATTATGTTCTGTCTGTTAAAGGACCAATAAACCTAATTTGCATGATTATAAAAAAAACAAAAAACAACATATTTAAGGCTAAAGCATCTAACTTTATGGAGCACTCTTAACAGCAGACCTTCCAGAGGGCAGTCCTATCCACCTGCTATGGTTATGGTTATCTTAAAGTGTATTTGTACCCAGATTTTCTTTTAAGTTTTAAAAATAATATGGAGGCGTTAAAACCCCTGTTGGTTTATTTTTGCTGTCTGTGTCCTGTCACTTCCTGTGGAGGGGGGGTTCCCTTCTTGGTTGTCCCCAGAATAGGTGTTCCCAGTGGACCTTTAACCTTTACCTCCTGTTATATGGACAATTGTAACATTTCGGATGTCCTAACATTCCTGTTTTGGTGACAATAAACAACAGGACAAATCTAAGCGGTTGACCTAGTGGGACATAGACAGCAATAAAAACTTGACAGGGATTCAAACTGTTCCCCACTTCTACCCTAAACTGAAAAAAAAAAATAGTTTTGGCTATACATTCATTTTAAGTCTACCCAACAGTGGTGAGTGAAAGCTGACATAGCAGGTTGATATCCTCTGGAATTCTGTTAGGTCTCGCTCACACCAGACACAGTGCGTTCCGGACTGAACGCACTGCATCGCATTGCGGCCGGCTCACTATGTTGTGGGGCAGGAGGGTGTGTGGCGGTCCATTGAAGTGAATGGCACCGTAGCCACGCCCTCCGGCCGCAATGCGATCAGCCACACAGGAACGCAAGGCACATTATGCCTGCGGTCTGGTCCAAACAAAATGTTGCAAACACTATTTTGTTCGGACTGGATTGCAGGCATAATGTGACTTGTGTTCCCGTGCGGCCGATCGCATTGCAGCCGGAGGGAGTGGCTACGGTGCCATTCACTGCAATGGCCTGCCACACAACATAGTGAGCCGGCCGCAATGCGATGCAGTGCATTCTGGCCAGAATCGGGCCTGGACGCACTGTCTGGTGTGAATGAGGCCTTAGTGTTATTGACAGTCATGAGCTTCTGTTGCTTAATGTAGCCATTCCTATGATGGCTGACTTTTGGCTAAACAGGGCAGTCATGATCATTGGGGTCTTATTTGATAAAGAGTTTGTATTGTTAATTGACAATTCCTAAGTCCAGCAACTAACCATCTTGTTATGGTTTGATATCTGTATTATCTGTTCTGGGTATACACTGGTAGATTTTCTGACTAAAGCTCATACGAAGAGTCTCATTTGATAATGCCATCAAGGACTTGAACGTCTTTCAAATTTTCTTTTGATTTTAACATTCGATTTTGGAAATGAATGGAGTTTCCCGAATGAAAACCAAATTCACAGTTTGAATTTCACTTGTTGAAGAAAACCTTTGCATCCTGCTTCAATTTTTTTTTTTTTGTAACTTTGGTCTAAATCGATTTGCTATTTGACCCCATTATCAAATAGCAATTCAAATCAACATTCTGTAAAATCAAATAAAGGTTCCAAAACAACGAAATTCTAACCGTGTATACCCACCTTAAGAATAAGAATTCTTGATTGAATAACGTAAATGAAAAGTATCTGCAGACACTAGCACTTCAGAATACATAATTGTGAAAGCAACTTGTTCTGTAGGTTTAGTGGTCCTTTATTATCTGTTAAGGTAATTACTGTCACATCAATCCTTGCTCGCCCTTAACATCATACAGATGTATTCTTATTGTTTAAAATAAAAAAAAGCAAAAAAAAATAAAAAAGCTGTGGGATCAAGCCCTGGTCAGTTTGGCATTTATGATGTTGGAATTTCTACAACAAAAGAAACGTTCAAAATAATTCACGTGTTACATTCAGCAAATAATTAGTTGGAAAGGGGCTGCACCATTGACCTATGCATCTGCATGTCTGTAAATGCTTTGCCAGCCATTCAACATGCATGGGGGTGATTACCTTTCTGCTGGCAGATATATATACTGTATATAACTGCCTCTTGGTTATTACTCCATATTCGGATTAGGCTGTTACTTGTTGGAGAAAAGCAACGAGTCTAACTATTTGCATCTTTGTATGTATTTATTACTTGATGTAATAAAGCTTATTTTCACTAAGGATTTGAACTGGTGTTGATTTGTTTTATATGATTTATATTTGTACAGTAACCAAATGAGGCCTTGTCTTTGCAATTGCAAATCCATTTGAAAATGATGATAATAACAAACAGTAAAACTTAGGGGCCATGTAGTATTTTTCTTTTTTAGCAATTGTGTAGTTTTTTTGTGTGTGTGTTCTCTTAAAGGGACACTAAACTCAGGAGTTAAATCTTAAAAAATACATTCAAGTATCCTAACTATTAATAAAAAATTTCTCTTTTTTGTGTATCATTCAGCTGTAGATCCTCAAATCATGTCTGAATTGGTGCTGAGACTGTCCTTCCTTCTGGAGCGGGGCTACTTTTGTTAACCATGGTTCCTGTGTGTTGTAAAGTAGTCACAGCTCCAAGCTCACTCATGTGATGGACTACAATCTCAATACAAATTAGTAAACTAAACATGAGATTGCAGTCCATCACAGGAGCGAGATTGGATCGGCGACTACTTTACAACACACACAGGACCATGAGGAACAAAAGTAGCCACCCTCCAGAAGGAAGGACAGTGTCAGCACCAATTCAGAGATGATTTGAGGATCTACAGCCGAGTGATAAACGAATAAGATACATTGGGGGGAATTTATCAAAACTGGAGCAGACAAAATCTGGAGCAGATTTGCACTGCAACCAATCAGCTTCTCTCTCATTTTCAAATCTTACCTGAGCAAACTGAAGAGAGATGCTGATCAGTTGCCATGGGCAACTGCTGCAGAATCTGTCTGCTCCAGTTTTGATAAATTCCCCCCATTCCCCAGAGAAATAGAAACGTTTAAAAAAAAAAAAATGTTTTTGCATATATCTACTGCTTGCCTTGTCTGTGCATTGGGGCTGTCCTAGAAAAAGCGTCCAGCACAACCCCAATGCATCTGGTGTAAACAGGACCCATCACTCGTTTTGTCTCATCTTCAGGGAAGGAAGTGAGGACACATCTAGAAACCAAAAAGAAGTTCTTACCCTTCCTTGTAATACATTGATTTCCACTTAGTATGGCCCATTTCCATTATTATTATTTAGCTGCACAGGTATTTAGCAAAATACATTAATATTTTATTTCAGATAGAACAACCACAAGGGAAAAAAGAATTCACAATCAGTTTAAAATGTATATGACATTCTGCATTTGTGTCCAGCTGAGTGGCTCAGACCAGCTACAGCTTGTCACCAGACTACCAGCAATGTATAGACATATAGAGCACAGTATTTTTTGTTCCCTGGTATAAAAACATGATGTAGATATATTAATAGGTAGCATACTGTAGAAATCATCTACACATAGCTTGGCATTGAATAACACGTTTATCTGTTTTATGAATTGATCTTTTCTCAAAGTCCATCAGCCTACACTGCAATCGTGTATCTCAGCTTTGTTCTTCTGCATTTTCTAAGCGTTTCATCTCCTTGAAAAGTTTTTTCCTTGCTAGATTTTCCTGGGCTTTTTTCTTTTTTTCTTGCTTTTCTCTTCTTGCTTCTTCTTTTTCCTTGACAACATCGCTGTTTTCTCCTTTATAGAAAACGTCCACTTTCTCCCTTAGGATACCTCTTGCCTTCGTTCGGTTTGTCTCCAAAGACCTGGTCTGATGGCACTAAACAAATAGTTTTCTTTTAGCTTGGAATAAACAGTTCATATTCTTTTTCAGTGAGCTAGAAATATACAATTTTAGACCTTTACCTAAAAGGTATAAATATAATGCAACTACCATCATTTTTGTAAAATATGTAATGGGGGGGAGGGTGTTAAGTATTCGAGCCTAAATGGCCATTTGAACGTGTGTAAAAAAATGAAAAAAACACAAACAAGTTTTCTGTGGTAGTGAAATGGTTAAAGTACACCATGCCATTCCTCTGTTCATCCCATCTAACAGTACCTTTGACTAGAAGCTGCTGTAAGCTCTTTATTGCCCCCTCTCTCATGTCACTGCTTTATAGCAATCCTGTGTAAAGAATCAACTTTACCTTCCACAACTCCTATCTTAAGGATTGCTAGAGTTTAGGCATGAGCTTGTGGGCTTACAACAGCCTCGATGTACAGGTACTAGATGGGATGACAAGAAGAAAGACGTGGTTTACCTTAAAGCTTAAAGGGAAATTAATGAAATACCCTTTTAGAGGGGGTAAATGCTTGTTTTTGCCCAGGGCACTTTTACACTATCCCTCTCTCTTCCGATAACCAGCATTGTCCTATTCCATACGACACTAAGAGTTATGGGTGTGCTCTTGGCATCCTCATTTACAATGCAAGATTGCTGGTCCTGAGTTGTATGTGATGACATCAGAACTACAACTGCCAGACATAGTGCCAATAAGAAGAGGCTTCAGGGAACCAGTTAAATGAATGGAGAAGCCTTTGGGAGCAAGGTATAAGGCAAGTTGCTTGTTACTGCTACCCGAGGCAAAAGCAAGAATTTAGGACTTGCAGTCTGGGGTGGGGGTCACTGCAAGGGTAGTGTTTTCAGTTCTACAGAGTTCAGCTTTATAGGAGAACTATGAGGTCAGTGATTTTCATCAACCTCATAGTTCGAGCCGACGTGTGACAATGAGACTGTCACACGTCGACTCAATAGATCGGGAAGTGAGCGAACACATAGTTCGCTCACTTCTCGATCATCTCCCTGCAGAGAGCGGTGACTGTCACTCACGGCTCCCTACAGGGATTCACCCCTTCCCCGCTCCGATCCTCCAGCGTTGACTGGCGGAATGGACTGGGGAGGGGACGGGCACAGCTGGCTCTGCCTCTAGATAGGCAGGGCCAGCTGTCACTCACACAGCTGGGTGGCTCTCGACAGTAATGTTGGGATCCGTCCCAGCTGCGGCGTTCTCAGTATACTGCGAGCTGTAGCTCGCGATATACTGAGCTTTGGGTCACGGGAGGACGCTAGTTTATGTCCTCCCGTGACCCTTAGGAGAACTATGGGGAAAAACTCTTACCCTTGCTGCCACCGCCGTAAGGCATACGGCGGAACAAAAGTGTTCCCGGCTGGCCAGCTCAGTATGACCTACGTCGGTGGCATTCATAGTTCTGCTATAAGCTGATGGTCGCTTGAGCGGCCATGAGCTTATACTAGAACTGTTCCCCAGACTGTCCCCTTCAAATTAATAGCCTGAGCGGCATAGTGATCGGAGCCGCTGTCATCCTGTCAGTTTTCGGATAACAGCAGCTCTGTGCGTGGCCGAACGGGGGATCGATAAATATCATTGATATTTAACGATCCCTCTGTGCAGAGCAAACACCGTTGTGATCGTTTGATCACTCCGGTGTTTGTAAATAACTGGGGATACATAGTACAATAACATACACATATTGTGGTGTACGCCATGCATATGTGCTGCAGTGCGTTGTTAGAACACATCGCAGTGCATGATTTAAAAAAAAAAAGATTTCTTTTAAAAAAAACATTAAATTAACTGTGGCAGCGCATGGCAAAGCTTTGTGACGCATTGCCGTGTGTTGTGATACCTTGTGTTGCAATTAAATATACGCCTGTATCATTTTATCACAACACAAACACCAACACAGCGTAAAACTATTTTTAACATAAGTCGCTTATTTACAGTTTTGCGTACCTTCAATTTTTTACCTTTTTCGCAAAAAGGCGCAATTACAAATTTGCAAATATTTGTTATTTATTAACTCAATGCAGTTTTATCTTTTAGATTTAGTCAGAAAATATTTATTTTTGTGCGCTGATAGTGATTTTAGTGTGTTTTATTAATTGAATTGTGTATTTTTATCGGTTTATTATTCATTTGAGAAACATTTGCGCAATTATCGCACGGCCTACAAATTTAGTATCACCATCTTTTTATTCTACTGGGCCTGCGCTTTCAGAAAATATATGGTTTGGGGGGTCTTTTACAAACGCTAGCAACGCAGCAGTTGAAAATCAAATCAATGGGAAAAATGGCGCGGCCAGCTGAATTGAAAAATGTTCTGGAGGGCTTGGCAGCGAAAGAGTTAAATATAAAACTAAGACCGGGCTCTCACAGTAAAAAAGATGCGTGTGACCAGAAGTAAATATCAAATGGATTCTCATCTTCAGGTTGATGTATACGTGGACACATGTTCTCTATTTCCAGATCTATTTCTAGCCCTATGCAATGAAGGATTTTAAAGAGGGTTGGCATCAAGGTGATGAACATTGTGTTGGCTCTGCACAGCGTAAAGTGTATTTTTAAAAATATTATTTGAAAGTGCACTTATCCTGCAATATTCACAGCTAATAAAGGAAACAATAAGATGTAAAAAAAGGGAGCTAAGAAAAAAGAGGTGTTATGCTTCTGCAACAGGCACTTTTCTTATTGCCTGATGTACCTAAAATCGAAGAACATTGCATGCTGTACCTCCAGTGGTCATCAACATGTCAATGACTACTGAACCTGGCTTCACCACAAAAACCATATCTGTGCTGACACTCATTGTGAGAGTAGGAAAACAGATCATAGAGATTAGACACATTACTTGAAGTTATGAGTTATGATAATTGGAAAAAAAAAAGCTTATCTCCCTTTCTCTCAAGGTATACATACATGTAAACATGTTAAATGTATTCAAAAGAATAACTTCGCTAACCCTGCTTTATAATAAAAAGATATAGAAGTCATTTTTGCTGGATTCAGTCATGCAATCATTCACTGCAACTGAGGATCCCTTTATACCCGGGTGGGCAACTCCAGCCCTCCAGCTGTGCTTTAACTACAAATCCCAGGGAGTCATGACTGTAACTGTCAGTCTTGCAATGCCTCATGGGACTTGTGGTTCCACAACAGCCGGAGTTGCCCATTCCTGCTTTATACCCTGATACCCAATTGCAGACATCCTGGCTCATTTCTGTAGCTCGCAGATTAATATGTAAGAACATTAAATGTATCTTCCTGCATTCCCTTAGCTAGGGTGGAGTGGAAAATTGCAACTTGGGGGTGAATTTATAAAGAACTTGCAGAACCAGTTGTCCTGCAAAACCGCATGTACATTTGTTCTGTGTGAATTGATGCAAACATGAATGTTATTCATTTATTTTCTTTCCAGGTTAAATGTAATATCAGGAAAATACCACATCATGGCCACTATGTGGAGCTGAGTAGCATAGAAATTAAATATTTTTTATATATGCTCCTCAGTTCTATCTCGTGGCCATAATGAGGTATTTTCTTGATGTTACATCTGACCTGGAAAGAAAATATACCAACGCTTGTTTTTGGCTCTATTCGCACACAATGAATGTACATGCAATTTCTCTGCCAGTTGTATATAAATACACTGCTTGTGATAACGAGCAATGCTAGTGTTTTGGACATGGTTGCTAGTGAAGTGTTTTGGACATGGTTGTACATTATGGTGGATACAAGCTTATAACTTGTTTTGTAAATTAAATTCAATTGTAACGTATCACCATTTGAAAGATTATGGAACCAAATAGGAATCCTTTCAATTTAGGATGCCCACCACTCTTCTAATACTTTATGGTGTTTTTCACCAAAGGGAACACTCCTCTTTGTTCAAGCAACAATCCTTCTTGGCCCCTATGAAGTTATAGGTTCAGTGCTTGCAATATCAATATCTCGTCTTCCACCGCACCCAGTAAATATTTCCTCAATAAAAGTTTACTTGTATAAATGTTACCTTGACAACAATTCCAGATGGAACATGCTTTAGCACTACACAGTTATTGGTTTTATTAGTAGCTTGTCCTCCTGGACCATCTCCACGGACAAACTGTTCTAATAAGTCCTTCTCATTTATTTCTATTAGATCCATGGTTACATTCTTTTTTCCTGCTCTCTGGCCCATTACACCTGCACTCAGTGGACTCAGGAACTTGAGTTGCTGACTCCATGGTTTCCGGGACAGCTGAGATAAACAGAAAAGGACAGAAGCCATGGATCGCATCTGTATAATAAAGAACAAATATCAATAATAAATATCTTCTAAAACACTAAGAATAAGGTCTACTGTTCTAATTTACAAATACACATAAATTATTGAGAAACAAGCAATGGTTTGCCAGTGAATGTTCAAATACTGATTCTAGTCTCTAGTTGTTTTTACATTATATGTATTATATAAGTAGTAGTCCAATGTGTCTTGTAAACACTAGTCTGGAGAGCACCACACTCAAAGTATTTCATGTGAAACTCTGGCTAGCACTCTTTTTGGTTTTGTTTGGATTGAATGGGGAAAGAATAAAACTTCAGTCAAGTTTTTATTGCTGCCTGTGCTCTCGGTGGAGTGCATTTCCATTAGTCCATGTCCCAATGGCAGTTGTTAGGCTTTGAACTTTTTGCTAGGTTAGGTATCCAGTTATCAGTATCTACATTGGAAAGATTTCTCCTATCTTTCTGTACTAGTGACTAGTGCGACCGGCAATCTCCCCAACAGGAACAAAGACAGAAATAAGAAGCTGACAGAGGTCTGAACTTTTCCCTATTCTATCAAAACCTAAAAGAAAAAAAGGTTTTGCAGTGTCTCTTAGGGCTTTTTTTCTGGGTGATTCTGTCTTCTTTTTGACAGCTGCCTGTCTTCTCTAGAGCCAACTTCCCTCTTGTGGTTACCAGGCTCAGCTAATTTGTCTGCGAGCCTAGGAATGCTGAATGGAGATTCAGGATGGAAAGGGGCAGGGGGTAGGTGAACTCCCAATTACTGATCACTCTTGCCATTAATGAACCCAGAAGTGATAAGCTTTGAGCACTTCCTAGTTCACCAACTCAGTATCCTGGTGTCAGCAGCTAGGTAACATGAAATCCGGGGAATGTATTTCCCTAATCTGTATGGGCTGGAGGCACTGGGGTCTAAGAAACCCCTAATATCTCAATAAGGCCTTGTTCAGATGTGCGGCAGGCTTTACTGCCACTCTGAAAAGTGATCTGTGCTGTATTACTTTTCAGACGGTGGTAGAACAGTGGCTGCCTGGCATGAATGCTGTTTTTTTAATTCTTTTTATCCCAATGTGGATTTTCTGTTGCAGCTCCATGGGCATGCAGTTGTGTTATGGTCTCATTCATTGTCATTTTTATGTTCATTAAGCGACACCAGTAAAAACATGGATTAACCATCTGCGTTTACCGCCCATCTAGCATTTATGCACTGGAATTTAATTTCCATATAATGTCTGAACATTATTTTTACTGCTAAATGTATAAAAACATTCCAAATTGAAATGGTTTAAAACAGACAATTGCTAAAGAAAGCAATTCCTACTCATATGGTTATAACGTGAAAGAGTTTCAGGATTGGTCCATGATGGTTTATTGTGCAGAGGGCCACTTGGCCTTTGGAGAGCATCAAACACAAGTGTGAGTAACAAGGGTTTCCATAGGCACTAGATGAGTGTCTGCATCAAATTAGCCCTACAGGTCTTTATATCATCACATCAAGAATTCCAGGCAGAGGAACAGGATTTAAACAGACTCAAGTAGTGATGTGCATAGATAGGCTTGGTGCAAACTGAGTTCACAATGCAAAACTGTCAGACCCCCCCCCCCCTCTTAGACCAATCAGTTGCAGACAGGGCAATGCCCACAACAACATGTAACAGAGGGGGAATTCCCAGCCACAACTGATTGGGCCAGGAGAAGGGCGTGTCACTGAAACATTTTTGCAAGGGTTGGTTGGCAGCAAGCCAATGGACATCACTGCATTAAAATAACACGTCTTTCTATCCTCGTGTAGCTCTAGCTATGGACACCATTGTTTACATTTTCATATGATAAATGTCATACACACAGGCATTCGTTCAATGTAAAGGAAATGTTACTGAGTTAGCCATGGAGGCTGCCATAGCTAACATCCCATTCTGTTTGGCTGTCATGAGAACCCTCTGGCTTCAATACTTTGTTACTTAATCCTGAAAAGATAGGGCTCCTGACTTTGCTGCTAATTTGTTCAGATCCAGTCAATTAAGAAGCATTGAAGCTGGTGGATAAGCATAACAGGCAGGTAAGTACACTTTATAAAAGAAGGTCGGTAGTGGCTTTCTCTTAATTTTACTATAACACTGTTGTCATAAAATATCCAACGTATCAGCCTGATATGAATTAAGTCAACGTGAGCAGAAAATGAGGTTCTCCCAGCCAGTGACTCCAGCACAGAACTCTCCTGAAACAAAACAATGACATACCCACAAGGCAGCAGCTACTTCCCATCCGCTAGAAGGAACCGGAAGTGATGACAGCAAAGGGACAGGATGTGGGCGGGGCGTACGCGAAGTGAAATGTGATGTTGATAATGTGATTCCTGTGTCGGTGTGGGGTGACGTTAGTGTGCTGGGTATAAAGTACCAAAGTCCCGGCAGCATTACAGAGTAACACAGGGGTTCGGTGTCGGTATTGCAGAGTGCAGTGACATTGTTATAGGGGCTGCTGGCTGCAGAGACAATGGTGACGGCTAGATGCACTGGGGGGGCGGGGCGATCAGTGACAGAGGGGTGCAATGTCAGTAATACAGGATTACATGGGATTGCTAGCAGGGGGGGGAAACTACCAACAACCAATGTAGTTCAAGAGCCTAAACAGTTTTGAAACACATTGAACTGACTGTTTATGTAGAACCTAAGGCCCCTTTCAGATGGGCCCTGTCAGTTTTTCATTCCGGTGATGTCACAGCAACTTCCTCTTCTTACTCCAGCGATGGAGAGGACAGGAACACTTCCTGGACTGATCAGCACTATTGTGATGACATGGAAGTGCTGCTTGGCCCTGGAGTAGTTTGATCCCAGCCTGCAAGATAATGTGCCCTAGGGAGATGTAACCAGCAGGCTGGGCTCACAGGAAATGAGCACAATGACATGGTCTTTCTGCCCAAGGAGCACCTCTGGCACTGGACCAATGAGGAAGGCAGGGATGCCACTAGATCGCAAGGAGGGTAAGTAGAATTCTGTTTATTACACAGGAGGGGAGAGGGAACTAGAAATAAAACAATGTAACTGCAGTTCCAATTTAAGTAAATCTGCTGCATTGCTTTGCGCAGAAAAAACACAGTTCCACTTTATTTAGGAAGAAGTAGTCTCAAGCCCAACAAAATCCACCTATAACTGAAATATGAGTTATTTGTGAATTGCTTTATTAAAGTGATATTAAAGTCAAAAGGTTTCTAAGCTATTTCAAATGCTGATGAAATCACTTACAATGGATGCTGCTTCTTGATAATTAAAAGTTTCGCGTGCAGTGTGTGAGCTGAGTGCACTCAGATGATTGACAGCACCTTCAGCCAATCGGATCGTCCGTAACAACCTGCCAGCTGTCGCATCGCGACGCGCTGGTTTATACGCGCGAGCCGATTGGCTGAAGTTGAAATTGGTCATCTCGGCACGCTCAGCTCTCGCAAGCTGAGGTGCCGAGCAGAAAATTACATGACACACTGCTCGCAAAGGCAGCGCGCCCCCGCTCCGCGCTGCTTCGCGTGCAGTGTGTCACGGCCTTACAGTGTGACAGAGGAGCGCTGGGTGAGGGGAGATTTGTGAGAGGGTGGCCAGGGATAGGGGGTGCATTGTCAGTGTTAGGGGAGGACATAGGGGTGCTGGGTGACAGGAGGTGCATTTTCGGTGGCATGGGTAACTGCATGAAGTGGCAGCATTACAGGGGGATGAGGGGGGTGTAAGATACAACAGGCCTAAATAAAAGAAGCAGATCTTAATTGTATGTGTTTTGTTTTAATATACAAAATGAGGGACTTTTCCAATCAGTCACCATGTTGTATTTTATATAGTTTTATTTAATATACATCTATTTAATATAGTAAAAATGACACAGGCTGCCATTGCTGACCTGGAGAAGCTCGCTTCAAAAGTCACAATTCCAGATTGTTTTTGCCTCTTTCACACAGGCTGATCAGGAGGAGATCCGTGCACGGATTGGATGTCAGTGTCCGTCCAGTTTTTTTTCCTCCATATTGCAATGAAGGGAAAATGTGAAATGACCAGACCCCATGTCAGTCTATGGGGAATCGTTTACATCAGATTACCTCCGATCCTGCACGATCAAGTTCAGCAAATACTGTTTAATTTGTTGTTCTGAACCTGGCGGAGTCGGGGGTAACCAGGTGTAAACAGACGCCCATAGACTTGCATTGGGCATCCGATCGGGTTCACCTGAAAAACTGAAAGGCGGACCTGATCGGACCGCCCGTGTTAAAGGGGCTTTAGGTAAGTGAAGCAAAAGTAATTTAGGCTTCTGACCCAGCAATGAAACCAGCAGGCATCTACAATTTTTTATTTAAAAAGTTAGCAGTTGAACCCAATAAATTCTCGTGGTACAGGTTTCCGAAGTCTTGAGACTGAGCACAAAAAAAGATCTGAGAATATAAGAGAATCGTAAAAGATGATTAGTCTCTGAATTTACAGTTAAAATGGAACTTAAAGGGAAAGTCCACCTTTCCAAAAGAAAAAAATGTGCATTTGTTATTCTTTTGCATTGGAGCCAGTAAAGTATTGCAGCCGTAATCGATGAATCATGGGTGCAATGCTCTGGCCCCCGTCCATGTCCTTACCAAGGTACGTTCAGTAACATTAACAGAAGGAAGTGTCAGTGGACTACTAATGCAGAGACATCATTTCATTTATATTCTGTTGAGAACTACAAAGCTCACTGCCGCAGTGGCTGATGGGACCTGTGGTGTCTCCATTCACAGATTCTGTCAAAGAATCTGTGAATAGATGGTGAAGCTGAATGGGGGGAGCCATGCACAGCTGCGCTGCATAAAAAAAATGTAAACAATCCCTCGGGTAGAAGAACTCCACGATTCAGGTTGGTGGGGAGGTTGCAATCATCTGACCAAGTTTCATATTACAGCCTAAATATAGGGAGTAATATGAAACATGGTCAGAAAGGTGGAATTAGTTTAAAGTTAATTCAAAAAATAAAAGCTAACGTAGCTTTTTATGGCAGAAGAGACTGTGTAAGGCTGGCCATACACCTATAGATTATCTGCAGACTTTCTATGGCCAGATGGAAAAAGTGCAACAGATTCCCCCATCTATGCTAAACTGTGTGGATGGAAGAATCTCCCACTGGGCCAAGCTTCAGTATCTTGGAAGTCGGCCCCGCTGGCTCTCAAAACACCTGAACAATGCCGGCATCCAATCAGATTGTTCAGGTATTTTGACAGCCAGCATTCCTTGATCAGCTGATCGAAGGAGCCGGTTTGAAAATCTTTGTACGATCAGAGCCGGAAACGCCAATGAGCTGCACGCTCTGATCGGGTATTCTGACAGGTGGCGGCGGCACCTGTCTTGAGCGCAATGTACACAGTGGCGATTCCTCGATCAACACGCTGTTTGTGTTGATGGAGGAATGGGGTCAATTTATTTCATTCAGCCCGTGGGTTGAACGAAAAAAATTGATAGGTGTATGGCCAGCTTTAGAGAGGAGGCTTCAGGGGACCAGTTGCATAGTAAGACGCAAAAACAGTGTATGGCTGCTTTTTTCCAGCTTGGAGTTCAGGTTTACCTTAATCTTACTGCACCAGGGTTGAAACTACCAAGCTTAGTTTTGCACATCTGCTACTTTACCAACTGAGCCACATCTGGAGTGGTTTGCAGTGTGCGGAGCTACAGAAAGAATCAAGACAGTCTTCCTGCCTGTAGTCTTTCAGAATAGAGGTTGTTACATCTACTATCTGGTAAGTGTGGTGCTGTGAAACTAATGCTGCAACTCTGTGGCATAAACTGGAGAGGGGACTGCGAACCATTAAACCCTGTGGGGAATGCATGAGAGTATTAAGACTTTAAAAAGAAATAGCACCTGCAGCCCACCTTAGAACAGGACAGTTGCATTAGTGTTCCGAAAACTGGACAGAAGTTTGGAAAACTATACTGTCCGGTTCAAACGTGGATGGTTGGTATTCCTAAATAAACTGTCCCACATATGACAGCGGTTGAGTGCGGCTGCTGGTGTGAACGTACCCTTTAAGGCTACAGAGAAAACAGCATAATACTTGTCTGTTGTTTATTATAAAACAAATACTCCCAACTGATATAAATATAATGCTATTTGTAGCTCTTATGTTTTATTAAAGATCACCTGCCATTCAGAAAGTGTCACTGATCCAGCAATATTTTTGTAATTACATGCTATCAATAGGATTATGCTCTACAAATCAGCAGCAGCACCATCTGGTGGTAAAGACGTGATACTGCATGCTTATGCAATTAAATGTATTGAAAGCAGAGTGTATGTACACCCGAAATCTATTTTTCAGTATGTCATAATGCTTAACTGAATACATAGTAACATAGTAGGTGAGGTTGAAGAAAGACAAAGGTCCATCTAGTTCAACCTATGTCTGTGCCTGTAAATATTTGGTTCTAGTAGTTCCCATATCCTTGTTTGTTTAGAGAACTAAGAAACTCATTTAAAGGTGCCCATACACGTTACGAATATCGGCCGAATTTCGTTTGTGATCGCGTTTTTGTCCGATATTCGTAAGGTTGATGGGCAGTGTAAAACCGCAAATACTGTACAATCGTACGACGGTTGTCTTTCCAGCATGCTAGAAAACTTTCTGTACGTCAAAATTTAAAAGTCAAAATTTGCTCATGCGCAAATGAAAATCCGTGCGGTCAATTAACAAATTCGTCCAGGTGATTTCTGCTAAAGACCGCTAATTGAACTGGGCGATGGTCGGGGCAGGATGGGGCCGTCGTACGAAAATCGTATGATGATCCGACCATCGGACGAAAATTTAAAGGTGCCCATATGGCATGGGCACCTTTAAAGTGTCTTTAATTTATCAATTCTGTCAGCAGATACTACTGACTGGAAAACAATTCCACATTTTTACTACTCTGACAGTAAAAAAGCAAAACCTTTGTGCAATCTAAGATTAAACCGCCTCGATTCTAGTTTCTTGTTGTGTCCTCAATGGAGTTCTCAGTGTAAACAGCTTATTCCAAATGTTGTGGTCATCAAAAATGATAGGGATGCACCGATATATCGGCCGAAAATGGCACTTTTGGCTACATGCCGAAAGTGCCCTTTTCTTGCCGATACGTCGACGATCCCAGGTTTCTTTCCTCCCCGCTGGGCGCTGCTCTGTGTCTCAGCGGGGAGGAGAGAAAGTGACAGCCGGCCGAGCACTGCAGGAGGAGAGCGCTGCAAGCAGCCTGTGTCTCTACTCCCACACCGCTCAGCCTCCTATCACACTTTGTGTCATC